TCAGACAGGGGCGTCTTCCCCCCTCAGACAGGGACGTCCTCCCCACTCAGACCAGGACCTCGGTCCTCCAGGACCCCTGCCCCCGGGGCCCCACGGTTACTCACTCCTGGCCAGGTCCAGGGAGCTGTCCCGACTGTGCTCGATCCTCAGCTGGGTGATATAGAGGCAGCAGTCCAGGAAGGCCTTGATGCAGGACTTGCCCGTGACGTACTGCGTCCTGTGCTCACACGAGAAGCCCATGGGGTTCTCCCGCATGCCGCCCTCACAGCACTTGCGCAGCTCCTTGTCCTGGTACTGGCCCGCTGGGGGAGCCCATCAGACCCTCAGCCACGGTGCAGCCTCGAAGCAGGAGGCACTCGGGGCAGACCCCCGGAAGAACTCACTCCTAGCCAGGCCCTCACCTCCTCCCTCTTCTGCTCCTGCAAGGCCAGGCTGGGATCCTGTAAGGGCCCGCTTCAGGGGTGGGGAGTGGGTAAGGATCCCGTGGAGGGCTCCCACCTTTGTCTGTCCTCTTCTCCATCAGCTGCACGGAGCGCCGTCGGCGGGTAGCTGGCTTCGGGCACTCAGGATCTGAGGGGCGGGAGAAGTGGGAACATGATGGATTAAGTACCTGCTGTGTGCCCTTGGCTTACTCTTCACAACAGCTGTAGTTCAGGCCGTCATTGTTCCCATTGGACAGATGAGCAAACTGAGGCTCAGAGAGAAGTGAGCTGCTAGTTGGTGGTAGAGGCGGGACTTAAACTCAGGTGCCCCTGACTCCAGAGCCCTGTTCCTAACCACTGAGAACCACTGCCTCCTGCGTTTGGGAGGTGGAGGCGCTGCCCCGCCCTGGACCAGGTGCTGGCTGCGCCCTCACCTGCCCTCTGGGCAGTCTGCAGGCCCTTGTTGGTCCGAAGGGCCAGGCCTGCATCCATGAAGACACCAGCATAGTCCTTTCCACTGCCTGGCGTGCAGCCAATGTCTGCCTTCTCCACCACGTCCCAGATCTATGGAGTAGAGGGGGCCAAGGATGGGATGACACCAGGCGAGCAGCACTTCCTCCAACTCACCAACACATCTGTCTATGTCTCTCCCCAGCTCCACCCCACCCCTGCCCTCTACCCCACCCTAGCCTCATCCCATCTTCATCTTCACGCCCACCTTCACGCCACTCCTACCCCCACACAACTACTACTCCCATCCCCACCCAACCCTCTCATCACCTCCTCTCCATCCCGTCCCCAGCCTAACCTGATCCCACTCCAATCCTATCCCCAACCTTATCCAACTCTATTCCTAACCCTGTTCTATCATCATTCCCAACTCCATTCCCATCTCCATTCCCGACCCTACCTCCAACCCACTATCATTCCCAAGACCATTCCTAACACCACTCCATCTTCATTCTGAACCCTTCTCCAACCCCTTTCCCATCTCTATCTTCATTCCCAATCCGTCATCATTCCCAATCCTATCCCAACCCCATTCCCATCTCCATTTCCATTCCCAACCCTAGCCCTCGACCCACCATCATTCCCAACCCTCTCCCAACCCCATTCCTAACCCCATCTCCATTCTCCCTCCAACCTCATTTGCATTCCTATCCTCATTGCCAAATCCAGTCCAACCCCGCCTCCGTCATCCTTCCCGATCCCGTCTCTATCTTTATCTTTGTCCCTATCCTTCCACCTTGGGAACTCCAAAGTAGGCAGCTATTGGTCTCAGAGTTGTGCAATGAGGTGAAACTGCCTATTCCCCTGACCATACACAGTTTTAACCCTTGTCCATGCACATTTCCATCCTCAGCCTCAACACCAACCCATCTCCATGTCCATGTCCATTCTAATCTCCAATTCCAACCCACACCTAACCCCACTCCATCGCGGTCCCCAGCTCCAGCCCCATCCCTTTGCCTCCCCCCATTTTCTACTCAACCTCAGCTCGACGCAGGTGGGTACCTTACTCTGAGTCAGCTTATTCTTCTTGTTCAGCACGTACACGCCCTTGTCCACAGCCACCAGTCCCACTCGGGCCCCACGGTTACCCTCTATCCTAAGAGTCATCTGCTGTCCTGGCAAATATGTCTTCTGGTCCTTCTCGCCGCCTTTTACCACCAACTGTGGGGAGGGTGGGTGCAGGAGGGAGGAGTCAGCCATGCAAGGCCCAGGTTGTGGTCAGCCAAGGACAGACGAGGCCCCGGGCTGGACCGAAGGGAGAGAAAGGTGGAGCTAGAGAGAAGAGAGATGGACAGATTGACAACAGAAGCAGAATCAGACAGAAGGTCAGAGAGAAAACAAGAGGAAGAGAGATACACTGAGGTTGAAGCAAGAGAAAAGAAAGAAGATGGAAAAGAGGGAGAAGGAGGCACTGTGCAGATGAGAACCCCTCTGTGTAAGTGGAGAACCCCACTGGGTGAGTAGACAACCCCTCCATGCAAATGAAGATCCCTCCATGCCAATGCAGGACCCCTGTATGCAAATGAAGATCCCTCCATGCAAATGCAAGACCCTTCCATGCAAATAAAGATCCCTCCATGCAAATGCAGGATGCCTCCATGCAAATGAAGAACCCCTCCATTCAAATAAAGAGCCCCTCCATGCAAATACAGGACCCCTGTATACAAATGAAGAACCCCTCCATGCAAATTCAGGACCCTCATATGCAAATGAAGAACCCCTCCATGCCAACGCAATACTTCTGTATGCAAATGAAGAATCCCTCCATGTAAATGCAGGACCCCCATATGCAAATGAAGAACCCCTCCATGCAAATGCAGGACCCCCATATGCAAATGAAGAACCCCTCCATGCAAATGTAGGACCCCTATATGCAAGTAAAGAACCCCTCCACGCAAATGCAGGACCCCTATATGCAAGCAGAGAACCCCACTGTGCAAATGGCAGGACCCCGCTGTGCAAATGGACAAGGGACAGAGACTGATGCAGAAGGCTGGAGAGAGGCTAGGCAGAGAAGACGGCACGGAGGTGGGCGCAAGGAGAGACCCCAGGAGCTCACCGTGCCCATGCAGGAGTCCTTGACATCCACCCACACGGAGTCGGCCACTACCTCCCTCTGGTCATTGGCACCGATCAGCGTGTAATAGGCCACCAGGCGGAAGGAGGGGATGAAGTCAGCAGTGATGGTCAGAGGAAGCACCACCAGATCCTGGCCAGGCTCCCGCCCCTGGCGTCCCACCTTCAGCAGCTTCCCCTTGTTCATGACCTGGGGGGACAGGGAGAAGGGAGGGTGGGGGGATCAGGGGTTGGGGAGGAGCCCTGGCAGAGCTGGAGGAGCAAGGAGGAGGAGCTGCAGGTGGCACTGACCAGGTAGGTGTAATAGCTGATCCTGGCCTGCAGGCCAGGATCTGCTCGCAGGTGAAAGTTGACATTGATGGTCTCGCCTGGTTTGAGTTCTAAGCGGGGCACGGAGAGGTGCAGGTAGTTGTTGGAGTTGCCGGGGGGGCTGTAGGCCTGGACCTGCATGGTCTCGGAGGCCTGCTGGCCCTCTGGGATGCCATCTTTCTTTGTGCGCACCTGGGAGGGGAGAAAAGCGTGAATAATGGCCCCAATAATGTCCACATCCTAATCCCTGGCACCTATGAATATGGCACCTTGCACAGCAAAAGAGACTTTGCAGATGGGATTGAGTTAAGAATGTTGAGATGAGGAGATGATCCTGCCTTATCCAGGTGGTCCAATGTCATCAGTAGAGTATAAGATGGAGGTAGGAGTCCCTTAAGGAGCCCTGGTGGCACGATGGTTAAGCACTCAGCCTCGGCTGCTAACTGAAAGGCTGGCAGTTCAAACTCACCCAGCGGCTCTGTGGGAGAAAGACCTGGTGATCTGCTCCCATAAAGATTACAGCCTAGGAAACTCTATGGGGTAGTTCTACTCTTTCACACGGGGTCACTATGAGTTGGAATCGACTCGACGGCACACAACAACAGCAGGAGTCCTTGTGTGGTGCAAACAGTTAAGGGCTTGGCTGCTAACCAAAAGGATGGGGGTTCAAGTCCACCTGGAGGTGCCTCAGAAGAAAGGCCTGGTGACCTACTTCTGAAAAATCAGCCATTGAAAACCCAAGAGAGCACAGCCCTACTCTGACACACACGGGGTCACTGTGAGTTGGAATCAACTGGGCAGCTACTGGTTTGGGTTTTTTTTTGGTCAGGAGAGACAAGAAGGCAATAGTGGTTCAGTGGTAGAATTCTTGCCTTCCATACGGGAGACCTGGGTTTGATTCCCTCTCAGTGCACCTGAAGCACAGCCAGCACTCATCTGTCAGTGAAGGATGACGTATTGCTAGGATGTTGAACAGGTTTCAGTGAAGCTTTCAGACTTATAAGGACTAGGAAGAAAGGCCTGGAGATCTACTTCTGAAAATCAATCAATGAAAACCCTATGGATCACAAGCGTCTACCGTTAACTGATCATGGGGATGGTGCAGGACCAGGAAGTCTTTCATTCCATGTGCACGGGGTTACCATGAGTTGAGTCTGACTCCCCGGCAGCTAACAACAGCAAAGAAGAGTCAGAGGATATGTGACAATGGAAGCAGAGGTCGAAGAGAGAGATTGGAAGATGCTATGCTGCTGGCATTGAAGATGGAGGAGGGGACCACTAATCAAGGAATGTGGGCAGCCTGTAGAAGCTGGAAAAGGCAAGGAATGGATTCTTCCCTAGAGCCTTCACAAGGACTGCAGCCCTGTCGATTCCTTGACTTTAGCCCATTGAGACTGATTTTCGACTTCTGACCTCCAGAACTCTCAGATAATAAATTTGTGTTGTTTTAAGTCACAAAGTTTGGGGTAATGGGTTACAGCGGCAATAGCCGACAAATACTGCATACACGCTTCCAGCAAAGAGGGGCTGCCCAGCCTAGGAGTGGGGCAGGGGCCCCTGAGGACAACTGTATCATGCACATGAGCTGTGTCCCCTCCAGCAAGGTATAACACTGCCAAGGCCACAGAAGCCAGGAGAACTGAGCCCACCATGCAAATGTATAAACTGCAGAGCCCATCCCAGCAAGCTTCAGACTGCTCGGTGAGATGGAAGAAACTGCATGCGCCGGCAGAACCCCTGTCCAGGTACCTGGGAGGCCCACAGCATGCCAGTGAAAGCTCAGTTCATCTACATGTGAACCCTGCTAAGCAGATATCAGACCCCTCTGTGCAAACGACAGGGCCCCTGTGTGCACGTGGAGAACTCCTCCATACAAGTGTCAGGACCCCTCTGTGCCAAGAAAGAGTCCCTCTGTGGAAACGGAAGGACCCCACTGTGCAACTGAGACCCCCTCTATGCAACTAGAGACCCCCTGTATGCAAATTCAGGGCCCCTCAATGCAAATAGGGAGCCCCTCTATGCAAATGAAAATTCTCTATATAAATGACAGAACTCCACGGTGCAAAGAACCCATCTATGCAAAAGGATGACCCCCTCCATGCAAATGTCAGGACCCCTGTGTGTAAATGACAGATCTTGAGGCAGGTGGCCAGACCCTGCTGTGCAGATGGCTGAAGCCTACGGTGCACACAAGAAGGCTCTACACAAATAAAAACATCTCTATTTAAATGACAGGACCCCTGTATACAAACATCAGGACCCCATTGTGCAAATGAAGAGCCCCTCTATATGAGGGGTAACCCCAGAATGCAAATGCAAGACTCCATTGTGCAAATGAAAACCCCTCTATGCAGATGAGAACACCTTTTGCACATGGCAGGACCCCTCTGTGCAAATAAAGGGGTCTTCCTGGTGGGGGGACCCCAAGCGGGGCCCAGACGCACCGTGATGGTCTGGGGGGTTGGGCTGTTGGGCATGTTGATGCTCAGCTTGGCCACACCGTCATTGTGGGTCAAGGACTGCACGCCGTTGTCCTTGGTCACCACGGGGATTTGGCGGGCTGGAGAGCCATCAGGGTTCGTCACTAAGACCTGTAGGGGAGGAGGGCAGGTGGAAGAGGGTCCGGAGGGGTGGGGAATCCGGGGGCGGGGGTGGAAGCTCGCCCGGGGTCTCACCATGAGGTCCAAGGGCATGGCTGGCTTGAAGTACTTGGGCGTCTTGGTAAAGTGGATCTGGTAGGGGGAGGTCACGATGGGGATCCCGCTGCGCTCTGCTTCCACCATGTCGCTGCCTGCAGGGGCGGGCTGTAAGGGCGGGCTCCTGGGCCCTCCTCACGACCCGGCCTCATGCCTCAGACTGGACCCCATCTTCACACCGGGCCTCCCCCCTTAGACTGGACCTTCCCCTTCAGACTGGACCTCCCCCTTCAGACTGGGCTTCCTCCTCCTGCAAGTCTTTCCTCCGCTCTCAGAAAGGGCCATCCCTTGGACCCTGGGCTTCCTCCTCTGCCGGGTCTCCCCTCTCAGACTGGATGGCAGTAGCACTGGGCGGCGGCCGCAGACCAGGCCTCACCTGATTGCAGGATGACAGTGACTGACACATACAAGGACTTCCCCACCAGGGCTTCTGGGCTGGAGGGTTTTACCCCGTTCAGCAGGACCTCTCGGCTCAGCACCACCTCCCCATAGCCGTCCTCGATCTGCCGGGGAGATGAGGGCTCAGGGAAGGAGGGGCTGAGGGGGGAGGAGCCGACAGGGAGAGGGACTGAGCGGGGGGCCTCAGATGGGGGTTGAGAGCTCAAATGGGAGGGGAGGTGTCAGAGAGGGAGGAGGCTTCAGAGGGGCCAGGGGACAAGGGGAAGGGTCTCAGAGGGTGGAGAGGGCCAGGGACAGCGGGAGGACGCTCAGGAGAGGAAGGGGCTCAGAGGGGAGGGTCTCAGCAGGGGAAGCGCTGAAAAGGGAGGGGCTCAGAGGGGGAGGGCCTCAGAGGAGGCGGGGCTCAGAAGGGGAGGGGCTCAGAGGGGGAGGGCCTCAGAGGAGGCGGGGCTCAGAA